GGGGGTCCTCGGCGGAAATTATGAAAATGACCCCTTAGAGGGACCTGTATTTGGAGATGATGGGCGTGGCAGTGCTGAAATTTCATCCCTAAAAGGGACCAATAATCTCGTCTATTAAGGAGTGTGACAAGACGTGAAATTGATTAAAATACAATCAATCATCTAATTAGCAGCTGTGGTTTTTGATCTCATAATGACGGCTTAGGGACGTCATATACCCTAAAAGGGACCACAAAACTCAGTTAGTGAGAATTCTCGTCATTATCACCCTAAGCGGGACCAAAATACCCCGATTTCAAACCCTAAAAGGGACGCTGAGGGCCCCCGCCCTTTGATATTAGGGAGTCCCCCCCCCGGGGGTCTGTTCTTCTAAATATCTGTTCTTGTACAAATTTTTTTCCAGGGAAAGGGATTTTTGAGCTACATTGTTGACAATCTCACAAGCAAATGTGGTGCCCTTTCTTTTTTAAAATAATTTTGTTCCTGGCAAACGTTTTTAAGGTCAAAAAACGCTTATCTAACGTTTTTTAGTCAAAAACGGCTTATATTTTTTTAGTTAATAATTTTTTATTTTCCTGGCAGAAATTCTTAGAAAGTATGCCTTGCCTAGAAAGTTCTTTTTTCCTGAATTTCTAGAACAGATATATTTCTCCCAGGAACCCGTTGGCTCCTCGTACAAAAGCAAAAGAAGACATTTACTCTAAAATTTATCATGGTGGGTTAGGTTTAGGGGGGTTATCACAGGATGGGTTAGTTTTAGGGGGGTTATCACAGGATGGGTTAGGGTTCGGATGGTTATGACAGGATGGGTGAGGGTTAGGGTGGTTATGACAGGATGGGTGAGGGTTAGGGGGGTTATCACAGAATGGGTGAGGGTTAGGGGGGGTTATCACAGGATGGGTGAGGGTTAGGGGTTTATCACAGGATGGGTGAGGGTTAGGTGTAAATTGTTCAGTATTCGGTCTTACATAACCAAGTTCTAATCAACACTAGCAAGTAAACAATCTCTCTCTCTATCGTCTATGCTATAACACAAACATATTAGATTTGCAAAACACTTCTAGTTATAAATACCATAGAACACTCTTAAATGTGCTGAGGGGTCTCTACTTGTCTGCATTTTTCTAATGCATTCAGCATCAGGGAAGTCCTGAAGAGGAAGAATTACTTTTTCCTTTTCTAAACCGTTATGTATTCATATCATGCTCACTTTGCAATACTGATCTTATYTTATAGCTATCTGCATGACAATCGCATYMGTGAAATMCCTGACRGCCTCTTCCGTAACCAAAAACAACTGAAAGTGTTGTAAGTTTTTATCATTTCCAAACATTTTGTATGAACAAATATGTACTGGCTGAGAAAAGCCATAATTATTAACAGCCATGCTGGACAATAAATGTTTTATTGGCGGCGATACTTAACAATCAAACACTAATAATCGTCGAATCATAGAATGTAAAAGTATACCATAGTATATATTTGTATTCTTATAATTGCAATGACTGTATTGATTATAATTAAATATTGRTTTAATGGCTGCACATTTTCTCTACTGCAGAGAAATGCATAACAACAAGCTTGAAACGTTCAGGAGATCTTCATTCCGAGGCCTCTCGATGCTTGAAAACTTGTAAGCATTTATAATTGATATGAACTCTCAGTATTATTCTTGACTCATTTTAATATACAAAACGAATATGTATATATGTTCTAWAAGAGTTTTGTAACAACTGGTTGTAATTTACAATTTTCAGAACGCTTCACAACAATACTTTAAAAGAATCCAGAATATCAAGTGATGCGTTTTTAGAATTGCAAAGCCTCAAATATCTGTAAGTTCAATTAGTTCTAAAGTTCTRATAGTGGTGATGGAGACATTATGTATTTATGAATACTTTAATATTACAATGCACCCTACTTTCAACTAGAAGATAGGCCTTGGTAGTCTAAGAGCCATTGTAGCAGTAGGAATTCATGAAACCTGAACTGTGATTCTGGTGTTAATGGTTTCATCACTTTAATTAATTGGTTAATGCGAATGAAATGGTTAGACAAGAAAACGATAGAATTGTTTGAAGTGATACGCTGACCTCCTGGGAAAAACTCTTCGTACTGAGGTTTCCCGCTTCAGATCAATAGACTTCATAATTAGGTTGACACTGCAGAAAAAAGTGTCACTGTATTCCAATATTTTCATTATTGCACATATATACACGAATTTACTATCACCAAATATATATACCATATATATACGAATTTACTATCACCAAAGATGTATAGACATCCCAATTTAGCGGTGAAATATTAGCTGTACAAAGCGGCTAACAGTCTAGTTGCAATCTTAACAAGATGTTGGTTTTGATCTTGAAGTGTGTTAGCTAAAAAATATAAAAAACTAATAATATAAATGTATAAAAATCACATTGCTTTATCGACAGGAAAATTGATAGCTTCATCCTRTGCTGCTATGCCGAAAAGTCAATTTCAGCTCTAAAATGCGAKKCCGAAGAAAATGAATTTTCCAGCTGCGAAGATATGTTGAAGACTAGGATTTTTTCTGTTGGTATATGGATACAAGCCRTGTTTGCTTTGATTGGTAACCTTGCTGTCATCTTATGGAGGACTGCATTCAAAAAGAAGGAAGAAGTTTCAGAAATAGCGAGAGATATGTCTARTGTACAATCCTTACTCTTAAGAAATCTGGCCGTGGCTGACTTTCTTATGGGCATATACCTGCTGTTCATAGGGGTACAGGATGCCTTGTGGAGAGGAGAATACTTTGATCATGACGTCRAATGGMGATCGGGAATCAAGTGTCAAATAGCAGGAGCCATTTCAACACTTTCCAGTGAAGTTTCAGTGATGATTCTAGTTGTTCTCACTGCAGACCGATTCAGTACCATCMTTTTTCCATTCAGTGGAAAACGTCTGAACTTCAAATCTGCTCTTTGCGTTTGCTCTCTCCTTTGGGTCATTGGAATACTGATTGCCTTCAKTCCTTTAGTTGCAACAAGCTACTTCCACGATRAARAGACTGACTTCTCCTTTTATGGACGCTCGRCTGTTTGCCTCCCGTTACAGCTTTCKTCTATCAAAGCTGCAGGGTGGGAATACTCCGTTGCTGTTTTCATGGTCTTCAATGGTGCTGCTATTTTATTCATCATTGTTGCCTATGTAGCAATACTCATTAAGATCCAGATRTCCTCCAGAGCTGTTCCGGTASMAGGAGAGCCTTCATCGTCTTTGGGTTCAAGAATTATGTTTATTGTCCTGACTGACTTTTTCTGCTGGATGCCAGTAATCGTCCTTGGCGTTTTGTCACTAATTGGCCAATTCGATGATAAAACAGGAAAAGTGTATGCTGTGATTGCTGTTTTTGTTCTTCCACTCAATTCCTCCATCAATCCTGTTATATACACATTTGCTACTCCACAAGCGAGAAAAGCATACCATCGAACAGCACAGGCATTACGAAACAAATTACAGGTTTGATAT